GAATACAATGGTCACTTCATGTCAGAGGACACTTCATAGCACCCCTCCCCATCCTCCAGCTCTACATTCTTTCTTCCCCCTCTTCCACCATGAGACTTGGGGAGGCTGACAGAGTTGTCCCATTTAGAGCTGAACACACAACTCACCTTTTCTCAAACACTGTTAAGTAGTTGTGAGTCTCGGCATGAACCATTGCCCACGGCACAAAGAAGCCTCTTTGATCAAGGTCGAGAGCACCATTGATCTATGAGTGCAAACATAGAAGGCAGTTTGAGGACATGTCCATTTATCAGAACAACAGCAGTAGCTTTCTCTCCAATAGGGCCTATAACCTCCCCAGCCATAGGCTTTTGACCAGGTTTATAATACCATGCATGAATCACTTCTTATGGAATTGGTCTCAAACCCAAGCAGGAAGTAGTTGGTTACTCCCATAACAATCATTCCATTATTGCCCCTTGAGTGCATCTTGTCTGGCAGGATCTCATTGTGTAGTCCTGGCTGGGCTGGAACTCACAGAGATCTGCCAGCCTCTGTCTCCCAACAGCTGGGATTAAAGGCACGTGCCACAACTGCCCAGCCCTATTCTCTTTATATAGTAGCTGCAGCTCTATCCTAACTCTACTCTCCCTTTCCTTCTATGTTCTTCTTTGTGGCATCTCAAAACACCTGCCACTGTATATATTTTTGGGTTTGTGTCCATCTTCTCTTCCCAATGGAATGCTAGCTCAAGAGAACAAGAAAATGTACTTCCCTTGCTCAGGTTTGTGTGTAGTAGGAGGAACAGGCTGTGTCCTGCTGCCCGGCTAGCTTACACCCGAAATAATCACACAGAAACTGCCTGGCCCATTATTTCTACCCCCTTATTGGTTAACTCTCATATATTAGTCTAACCCATCTCCATTAATGTGTATCGCCACTTGACTGTGGCTTACTGGCATGAGTCTAACCAGCGTCTGTCTCAGGCAGGAGAACCATGGCGTCTGCCATACTGCCCTTCTTCCCAGCATACAGTTCTGTCTACTCCACCTACCTAATTTCTGCCCTATCAAAAGGCCACGGCAGTTTATTTATTCAACCAATGAAAGCAACATATAGACAGAAAAACCTCCTATACTATTTATGTATTTGTTTCTCGTGTTGCTGGGAGTCATGGCCAGGTCCTTAGCCTCATCAGGGAAGCTCTCTATCACTGAGCTATATCCCTACCCCTTTTTACAGTATGGAAACTCCTCTCTCTGGCCAATGATCACCGAGGACCTGAGATTTACCAATAGCGACATCAGGGGGCTTGGAGGCGAATCCCTCCTAGGTTGTGGTTGGAGAAGATGGTAGCCCCAGTCAATATCTTTGCTCTAGCATTTTATGAGACCCTGAGCCGGAGGCACCTGAGCAGTGTTAGCATCCCTGGTGTGTGGCTACTATGAGACAATTGTTATCATTGGTTTTTGTTGTTGTTGATGATGTTTATTTGTTTTCTGGTTTTTGTTTTGTTTTGTTTTGTTTTATTATTTTAGTTTTTCTGAGACAGAGTTTCTCTGTATAGTCCTTGCTGTCATGGAACTCACTCTGTATACCAGGCTGATCTCAAACTCTGAGATCCCCCTGCCTCTGCCTCCCAAGTGCTGGGATTATAGGCATGTACCACCACTGCCCAGCTAGCTATTATTGTTTTAAGTTACTAAGTTTTGGGATAATTGGTTAAGTTGTAATAGATAATTAAAGAGTCTCTGAGCCAGATTACTTTCTCATGAATTGTCTCTGTTCTGCGCGTGCACGCTCATACACACACACACACACACACACCCCAACCAAAAACTGACTTGGCCGTGGACTTACTTTGGCCAATGAGGAATCACAAGACTGAGGCAGCAAGAGATTTAAGAAGTATTTCATCAACACACTCCCCTGCCAGGAACCCAGACTCCACAGGCTCTGCAGACCAGGAAACTGATCAGGAGAAGGACAAACACCCATCTCTTCAGGCTTTTCCAGCCCTGTGAGACGAGGAACCAGTGTGGAAAACTGAACCATGCTGTGCTAAGCCTGCAAAGGCTGGGGTGGCTTCCACCACAATAGGTGCCAGACACACCCTCCTCTTCCAGGTTCTTTTCCTTCGCAGTGGCTTCCCAGACACTGAACCTGTCTTTCCTCCATTCTCACTCACCTAACTCATGCTGGGACAAGGCACTCATATTTCTGGAACAAGCAGATCCATTTCCTAGGCTTGTCATAGCAAATTGCCGGGAACTGTGGAGTTTAAAGGAAAGCGATGCTTTCTTTCACACTTTGGGAGATTTTGAGCCAAAAGCAAAGCATCAGCAGGGGTTGGGAGTTCTTGCGAGGCCTCTAAGAAAACAGTCCCATGTCTTTCTCTAGGCATTGGTGTCTTCGGTGTTCTTTGGCTTGCAGCCCTTAACTTTAGTCTCTTGCCTGTTACCCCATGCTGCCACATTGCATCTGGTAAAGAAAATGACTGAGCACTCGATGTGCTCTCCCTAACTATTCCCTTACAGCTCTGATCCAAACAGGTCACATTCTAAGGTACTGGGACACAGTACCAACCACACTTCCACATTTGGGGGCGTAGAGTTGAGCCTATGACATATACCTGTAGTCCCTGCTCCACTCCGTACATTCTAGAGCTTTAAAACCTCCCAGTCCTTGATGGGACAAAGCAGTAATCCTTAGCATTTCATCAGCAGACATGTATTGAATGCCGACGACACACAGGGCACTCACCCGAGCTTTCTTCGAGACAAATGAATCTGTATAACCATTTGGCCACATGTGGTTTGGGCACCCTTGCTAGGTTTAAAATTTAAATTAGGACCCATATTAATTTTTAATCCTTTCATTACCAGTGGTACGAGTTAAACAGGGAGACAAAGCCTCACATAAATAAATGCCTGTGTGTGGCGAAATGACTACCCTGTGCCTGGTTGCCAGGAGACGTCCCAGTTTGGCAGCCTCTTACTCCCCTGTAATCAAGAGCCTTGAGCGAAGCCCGAACTGGCAGGCTTCTGCGGGCCTGTTAACGTGAGCACAGACTCTGCTCTACAACTCTAACACCTGACATCTCACATCACCCCGTGGTTGCTTCCATCTCCCCCCAGTAGAACACTAGCTCCAAGAGAAGAAGTAACGTATGACTTTTGTTCAGGTTTGTGTGTTCGTTGTGCTGGGTGACCCTTGGCTGTTCCACCCCCTGTTTGTTTGAACATTTTTTTGCCCTTATAACCCAAATTTCCAAAGATTTATTTTCAAGTGTCTCCGAGGGCTGAAACCACAAATGTTCCCAACTTTGGAGATTAGAAACGCTTTTCTCCATCGTCAGGTTTTCTGGGTCTGGTGTTGCATAACCTGCTCTTGCCCGGGCCTTTCCGTTCTTGCCTGTTATTCCCCGCTCCCTTCCTTTGCTTTCCTTGGGCTGCACACAAGCTCCTTTCCTAACCCCACACACAGGCACTGGCTGTTTATTTATCTTTGTTCTTTCTCTGCAGTAATAACTGGGGAAGAGCCACCCCTGCTCTTTGGAAGTACGGGGCTGCCTGCCTCCCCTTGCCCTCAGACCATGTCCTCTCTCTGAGCAAACCTCCCTTGCCACCTTTTTTCCTCGGAAGTAATTTCTACTTGGAAACTGCAAGTAGTTTTGAACCAGTCATTTGGCAGCCTCTGAGGGGGACACAGTTTCCTTTTAGAGATTCCCTTCTGTTTCCCCTGTGCCTTGCATAAAGAAACCATACCACATGGACAGTGGGCAACCTTCACTGAGCACTTGCTAGGTACCCGGGCTAGCACAGGCAGCTCATACACGTTTTTGACTACTCCACACCAATCTGTGTCCATTTTACAGAGGAAATACTACTCAGTTCCTTCTCTTCTGCCTCGGCCTGGAGCATGCCAGACTGAGCCGTTGGGCCTTGCCAGGCCTGTGCCACTCTCCCTGTGCGATCGAATCTGTTTATGAATATTCGCTGCTCCTTGTTCAGAAACAGCTCCCTCCCGCTCTCCTGCCCGCCTACACCCTCTGTTCGTTTTGTTGTTATTCTTTGGTTTTGGTTTTTGCTGTTGCTTTCATGATAGGGTTTCATTGTGTTGTCCTGGCTGTCCTGGACTGCTGTAGACCAAGCTGGCCTCGAACTCACAGAGATCTGCCTGCCTCTGCAGCTGCCTCCCTAGGGATTAAAGACAGTGCCACCACCACCTGCTGTTTTTTTGTTCTGTTTTGTTTTGTTTTCTCTGCACAGCACTCTTTTCAGTGGTCTCACTCATTTGCTTGGCCACCGGGGTTTTAAAAACGCCAACAGCCGAAGCTCAGTTTTGTTCGGCACAGTCTTCTGGGAGGCCCTTAAGAACGGTGGCAAACAGTAGGTACTGGGTAAATACTCCTGAAATGAACACACTTCTGAAGGAACTAGTACTTTTGACCTCTGCGAAGTAACCAGAGTAGCAGTTACTTTTGGTTCTGAAAGTGGTTCTGGGAGATAAGACACACCTTTCACCACCTGTACTTTGTTTGCTGAGGACAAGGGTTCAAGGTCATCTCTGGGAGGAGAAAGAAGTGGGGTGAAGGGAGGGAGGAGGTGAGGGAGGATTGCCATGAAAAGGTGTGTATGTGGGGGTGGGGGTGGGGAACGGTTCTAAGGAAGCCAGAGTAGCAGAGGAGATACAAAACGGGGCACCTTGCTTCCTGTTGGGACTGAGCAGGGCATGGCCTGACTAAGGGTTAAAAAAATGCACACAGAGAAAATGAAATCTAGCCACCCAGAGGTGCCAAGGGGAGACTAGAATTAGAAGTGGCGCGGGCGGGAGAGGGCGCTCAGAAGTTGCCCATTGGGGAGAATGCAGTCAAGCGCAGCCTACAGGTTGGGACCAGGCAGCACAGGGCAAGAGGGGTCTGGCCCGAGAGGCGCGGGGTGGAGCCGAGGGGAGTGGGGTGCAGGGGCGCGAGGGGCGGTGCAGCAGCAGGCGGGGCGGCCCCGGTGGCCAGCGCTCACTTCCGGGAGAGCCGGGCGCCCTGGCCACCGCCCGCTCGCAGCTGCCAACTAGCTGGGGCCGCTGAGCCTGTGAGTGCGCAGGCCAGGCCGCTGCTCGGCGTCTGCGCAGCTCGGTCCACCGTCCGTCACCATGGGGGCATCGGGGAGGCTGCTGCGCGCCGTGATCATGGGGGCCCCGGGCTCCGGCAAGGGCACCGTGTCGTCGCGCATCACCAAACACTTCGAACTGAAGCACCTCTCCAGCGGGGACCTGCTCCGCCAGAACATGCTGCAGGGCACAGGTGGGAGCTGAGACCGAGGGCTGGCAGCGTGCGATCGTCCCGGAGGGGCTTTGCGGGAAGGGGTCGAGGGTCCTGCGATGCGGGTGCAGCGCTCCCGACCTCGCCTGGGGAAAGAGCCTCTGGCCTCAGTGGGTAGCTTCGGGTAAATTACGGGGGTGGGGGTGGGACTAGGAAGTTCAAAGACCGAAGGAAAGCCCTCGGCTTTGTTCTAGGCACACAGCCGACCCGGCTGGCAGCAACAGCAGGGGTCCAGACCGAGGAACTGAACCCCGCTCTCCACGTGTACACGGAAGGCAGGCTTTGCTTCCCTCTGTCAGGGTTAGCTTTCTTTTCTACCCTTCCCCCCTCCCCTCCCGCCCTTGGTAAACTTCGTGGGATCTTGTAGTTCTGACCTTTCTCTCTCCAAGGTCAAGTATTACTTATTCTCTTGGCAGTCACAAAGTTGGCTTAGATTTTGATGCCCCCAGACATTTCTTAGGCACGAAAGTTATCCCGGTGCATGGTTACATAAACAATTGTTGTGTTTCTCTTGCCAAATTCTTCCAACTCAGCACAAATCTAGTCAACAAGCTGCTCTTTACAATGGATGGGTTTGTGGTAAATTCTATTTTAGGAACGCATTTTAATTTTTTTGAGACTTCATTTGACGTAGCCAAGGTCAGCTTTAACTTAAACTTGAGATCCTCCTGCCTCAGCCTCTCTAGTGAGAGCTGGGATTACAATTTCCAGCCAACTAACTGCCGCAGGCTGCTTTTAAAAGTTAACTCCAGATGTTTTCTTCACGCTAGCGTTGACCTTCAATTCAGTACTATTGCCTATTTTTAAATTCATTTGAACTTATTTACATAGAAATAGTACCTGTTCAAGGTGGAAGAAAAAAAAATGGAAGAAGTAAGCAAAGGTCCTGGAGAGAAGGGGAGACAGAAAGGAAGAAAGTAAAAAGCAAAGCTTCCCCTTAGTCCTGCCCCTACCCTGTTCTTCAGAGAGAAACAATGCATTTCCTTTTGGAAGTGTCTTTTTATGTCAAGCACATGTGTATACCCTCTGTGTATCATGTTACCATAGATTTACTCAGCCTCCGTGGTTTCACACTCTGATCTAGTCTGACCTCCCATATGCCCATTACTCTGTTTGGTTTTTTAGCCATGGTAAATTTACTTAGGCTCCCCCCCCCCCATGAGTCTATAACTAATTTCCTGGAAAGGCAGCTTTTTGTTGTTGTTGTTTTTGTTTAAAAGACACCGACATTCAACTGGGGGAGAAAAAAAAATCACCCCACTGTTTTCAGTTTCTTTGGTTGACTCCTCAGCACCCCTGGGCCATGCTTTCACTCTCTTCTAATATTGACCTTAAGAAATAATAAAGGTTGCAGTGAATTAAACTTTATCAAAAGGTTGTTTGACTCTTGCTAAATGTTCTTAGTGCAACAGATTGCAGTTTTATTTAGGGCAAACAGTCCTGAGTCCTGGAGACTGCCTGGTTGGTTTGCTGCTATCCAAAGTACAGCAGAAGACTTTGGGGAATGATCTGCAGGCTGACTCAGCGCTCACTTGACTGGGTGGCAAAGAGTGCTCACTGACTAGGAAAACACAGACCATTTTAAGAGTAAATGAAAGGGAATTTGAGGGCTGGAGAGATGGCTCAGTGTTCTCCCAGTGGACCTGGGTTCAGTTCCCAGCACCCACATGACAGCCCACAACTGTCTAACTCCAAGATCTGACACCGTCACAGAGACATACATGCAGGCAGAACACCAATACGCATAAAAAAAAATAAAAATAAAAATATATACATATATTATAATAATGTACAATATAATACATATATAATGTATATCTGTTTTTGTAGTATATGATGTATACACACATATATAATATGAAAGGGTATTTGAGTAAAGAAACAACACTTCTTGCTTCACTTTACCTGTAAGACTCAGGTATCGCGACTCTTTAACGTGGAAGAAGGGCACAGAGATGTTCAGCACCTCATTCTGTAGTTTTAATGGGCAGTTTTTTTCTTTTTAAAGACACAGAAGGACAAATACTTTCTTAAAACCTTGAAGATTCATTATCAGAAGTAGATGGGGTTTTTCTTTTTTTTGTTTTTTGTTTCTTTTGACAGGGTCCCATACAGTAGCTCTGGCTTGTCTTGAACTTGTAGCAATCCTCCTGCCTCAATTTCATGAGTGTGGGGATTGCGGACTCACCAGACTCAGCTGGAAGAATTAAGGTTTGTGAGAGAAGTCTTTGCAGGTCAAAGTTCAAGGTACACATGGGGCTTGGTCTCTGTTCAGTTGGGAAAAGTTACAGATCTCAGTGGGAAGCCCAGGCCAGGCCTCTCGGAGTTTCCCGGAGTCTGGCTCATCTAGCTAATTTCTGAAATCCAAAACTGGCAGGTTCTGAGATGACTGGGTCACTGCTCTGCAAAGAAGTATGAGCAACTCCTTAGCCAGAATAGAAGACAGAGGTCAGGAGGTGACATGAGACTGTTTTCACAGATGTTAATAGTTAATACTTTGTTATACAGAGCATTCACTGAATGGTGGTATCCAGCAGGTTCTGTAGGTCAGGACTGAGGATATATTCCCAGTAAATATTTGTGAAAGGATTGAATATTTCCCACAGACACAACCAAAGGAGAAGTAATCTTTAAAAAAAATAAATGTAAGAAAGGGCCTGAGAATTCAGAAGAGGAAACTGACACCCTGTAAGTTGGCCTCCCCAGGAGACATGATGGACGGGCCCTGTGGTGTGCTCTTGTATTCTCCTTCTTTTCTTCTTGTATTTGTGTGCAGCGGGACAGTTGTTATCAGATGCTTTGTGTTCTCATTTGTTGTGAGTATGTTTATACAGTATCAAGTCTCAGACTTAATTTCAGGAAGATTGCACAATTAATTTAAACTTTGCTCCTGTTATTAGCTATTGAATTTTTTTTTTTTTTCCGGTGCCAGAAACTGAATCTGCATGCTAAGCTATCACTGTGCCCCGGAGCGGGGTCTCCAGACCCCTGTTGAATGGACATCTGTGTTGTTAGCCATTTTCTGATGTAATAAAGACCGCCGGGTACCTGAGCAGCTGGCTGCAGCTTTGCTTACTTTCCTTTGAGTAAATTCCCAGGGTGGCATTTCTAGGAACTCGCCATCATTTCAGAGAAGTGCTGCTTTGTAACATCCGACTATACAATCTGAAATGCGTTTGGTGGCGGTGGGAGGGTCTGGTCCTTCCATTAGTAATCGCTTCACCCTTACCCATTTTCGGACCTAGACACCTTCCTCAGCTCTGTTAGATTTAAATTCGCACTGTGCTAGCATTCATTAAAACAAAAGGTGCGTGTGAGAACAACGGCTCAAGAGAGACAGTCATGGCTCCGGAAACACAAGGTGACCTGGTGAGACCCTAGCGCACCAGCCAGGACAGCGGACTCAGAAGGTTTGAGGCTGAGACTTACTCCATTGCCGTAATCCTCTCATTCCTTTCCTGAGAAAACTGAGTGCCACAGAGGTTGAAGAATTCCCTCAGTGATAAACAGCCTTTCTGTCCTCACCTGGGCAGCACCACGTATCTAGGTTGCTAGGATACGGGAATCCATTCGTACAGGGCCAAGACAAGGATGAGATTCCCATTCGTGAACTAACCCCAAGTGAAAATAGGCAGCCTTTTCTGGGGTCCCCGGGTGGAAGCCCAGGCTCACAATGCAGTCCTTCCCAAACGGAGGTTCATAAAGTCATTTTAGATAGACTTATTTATTTATTTATTTCAAGGTGTATTTGCAGAAAAGAACTTATTGCTGTGAACATTTTAGCTGATTTAAAAACGTGTGTGGCTTAAAGGAAACAGGATTGATTCAGATGTGGCAGGCATTGTAAGGTAAGACATCGAGTCTGTGAGTGGCAGAGTCTGGCCTGGCTCACTGATGGCTGCTTCGTCTCTGGTGCCAGGCTAGAGGGCTGACCCTTTAAAGCTCATTTGCTATCATCTGTATGTTGGGAGACTCTAACTCAGTAGATAATCTCAGGCCCCCAAGTGTCCACATGGCCAAGCATCGTTGTGTAGGCTCTTGAAGCATACTGTGCATAACTAGACTTAAATCGAAGGTAGAACAGGTTATTTTTATAATGGGAATTTGTAATAGTCACTACATTTACATGGTTTGGCATTCCAAGACAAAACAAAAAACATCTGAACGAGTATTTAGTGAGGAGAGCCTTGTAAGGTATTTCATGCACACGTGACTTGGCGCTAACCTGTCTTCGTTAGTGGTTTGGTTTTCTGTGAGTGGGAGTACAGGGTCCATAATGTGTAACAGTGAACTTTCCAGGAGTGTTTCACACCCACCCCAGCATTGGCTCGGTGAGCTGATTCACTGCCACCCAGCTTCAGCATTTAAAGTGTCTGTATGTATCACTGCCATGTAACTTCAACATTTAAAACATGTGCATGTAAAATCCAGTGCCCTTAGTATGTCATAGAGTTGGCTGTCACCACAACAGGTTTCAGAACATTTTTATTACCTACAAAAATTCCCTTATACCTATGAGTCACTCCCATCCCCACCCACCCCACCCAAGCTTCTGGCAACACGACTCTATCTTTCAAATCTCATGTTTGGGATACGTCCCAGAAATGAAATGGTGTCTGTGGGCTTTTCTTTCTGGCTTCTTGCACTTAGCATATTATTTTTCTTAATTGTATTTATTTTACTTAGAATGTAGTGTACTTGTATATATGTGTGCCATGGTAGGTATGTGGAGGTCAGAGGACAACATGGGGGTGGGCGGACTGTCACTCTCTGTCATGTGGGTCCAGGAATCCAACTCAGGGTGCAAGGCTCAATGGCAAGCTTCTTTGACCTCTGAGCTGTGCCTGCTGTTTTGAGACTGTCTCACTGTGTTACCCAGGCTAGATATATGAACTCTGTGTTTAAGTGACCTTCTTATCTCAGCCTCCTGGGTAGCTGAAACTCAGGATGTACTGTACCCATACCCAGCCAACTCTATGACAGCCTGATCTGGGCTTTTTTTTTTTTTTTTTGGTTTTTTTTGGTTTGGGTTTCTCTGTGTAGCTTTGGAGCCTGTCCTGGAACTAGCTCTTGTAGACCAAGCTGCCAGGCTGGCCTCGAACTCACAGAGATCTGCCTGCCTCTGCCTCCCGAGTGCTGGGATCAAAGGCGTGCACCATCACTGCCCAGCTTGACTTGGGCTTTTAAAGATCCCTTCATGCTATAATATTAGGACTTGGTTACTTTTTATTTATTGTATTATATGGATGTTTTATGTTTTGTTTAGTTGATTTTTGAATTAGCTTCCTTTTCCCCATTATTTTGTATCTAAGTAATTCAGAGCAATCTTTAAAAAGAGACATTGGTTTAGGATTGTAAACTGTTCAATTCTTTTTTCATTTTTCATATACAAAACAAAGTTTCCTGTTGATGCGCTCATGTATATGTGTTATTGTATTTTGCTGTCATTTGTTCCCCACAACACACTGCCTGAATTCATAGATTAATTATTTAATAAAACACCGTAGCTAGAAACTCAGAAGAATCCTCACCCTCGTCTGTGCCCACATACCAATCCATCTACCCAGTGAGCTGCGGGTCCATTAGGCATGCGTACGGAGTGTGGGGATTTATGTCACTGAAGGTGCTCACAGCCAGGGTGTGGGTTTGGGGTCAGGCGGGCACACAGATGTGTGTATTAGTCACCGACGCTGCCGTAATAGCACACCACAGACTGGTGGCTCAGATGGCAGAACTGTTCTTGGAGCCTAGAGGTCCAAGATCAAGACTCTGGAAGGGCTGGTTTCCGGCATGGCTTGCTGTTCTGGCAGGTAACCAGCCTTCTCACTTTGTGGCCTTTCTTCTGGGCCCAGGCATCCCACTGTCTCCCCCTCAGTGTTTACAGTCTCTGTCAGATTGAGGCCCAACCCCTATGACCTCATTCAACCTCAGTTACCATCTTAAAGGTAAATATGGTGTAAATATAGTCACAGTAGGGTTTAGGTTAGGATTTCAGTATATGGACTTGGGACGGCTCAGTCCATAGCAGGATTAGACAGGTGGCTTCAGTTTACTGGATCGGAGGTGCCAATCTGGTGGCTGCAGCTGGCAAAGGCTGTGCTGGGTTATCCCATGCAGGTGAGCGGAAGGGCGAGCAGGTGCTTGAAGAAGAAGGAGACCACATGAGCACTTGCCCAGGACCCACTCCCAGAGAACTCACCCAGCATCATCATCTCTTCATGAGGGTGGGCTCCGGACCCAAACACCTCTCAAAGATTCATCTCTCAGCAGTGTTTCTCTGGGCACCAGACTTTATATCGAGTTCTGGCTCATGAGTGTCTGGCTACCCTAACACATATCTGTATCTTCTGATTTGCTTATTTTGGATAAGCCACATCCAAATCCTGGTGGAGAGTCCCATGATCTATCAAAAGAAGGAGCAAGAAGCTTCTGCTGAAGCTAGGAGAGGGCTGGGGTTTGTTACTCTCCCGGTAGGGGTGTACCGGAGGGAAGAGGGCAAGTGGAGAAGGGAAGAGGAAGGGTGAGGGCAGACAGCAAGGACCATGTGCATGCTAGGCAAGTGATGTGCCACCGCCAGACCTGTGGAACTGGACTGGGGCTGAACTGGGGGCAATCCGAATGTCTTCGCTTCCTTTTGGTTTGCTTGTTTTGAGACAGGGCACTCTGTAGCACAAACTGGCTTTAAGCCCGCATACGTACCCGGGGCTGGCCTTGAACTCGGCATCCTCCTTCCTGTTGGTACTACAGGTGTGTGCCAATGTGTGAAGCATAACCTCTGCTTGTAGCAGAGAAGCTGTTGATAATGCCCTGTCTCACGGGCCTGACGTCTGGAAGTATCCTGTAGAAAACGAATTCCTGAGATCTGGAATAGGATAAAGCAAATACACTTACTGGCTTTTCCCTCTGCTGTAGAAATTGGTGTGTTGGCCAAGACTTTCATTGACCAAGGGAAGCTCATCCCAGATGATGTCATGACGCGGCTGGCCCTTCACGAGCTGAAAAACCTCACCCAATGTAGCTGGCTGCTGGATGGTAAGTGTAAATACGCAGGGCCCAGAGTATCTCTGCCTCCTGAAGTAATGAGTTCCGGCAGAATGAGCACCTGGGACTAGGGACCATCATCAGGAGGGCAGCCAGTCACCTTTGAGTCTAATTTTAAAATTTAATTAGTGAACTGATTAACTTGTTTTGAGACAAGGTCTTCTGTATCCCTCACTGGCCTCCAGGTTTCTATGTAGCTAAGGATGAATCACACTTTTGATCCTCTTGTCTTTGCTACCAGTTGCTAGGGTTACAGGAATGGGTGGTCAAGCTTGTGTATGTGGCGCGGTGATCGAACTCAGGGCTGCCTGCATGCTAGGCCGGCATGCTACCAGCTGAGCGATATCCCAAGCCCAGGGGTTTGGTTCTTTACTTGAAAGGAAAGAGAGCGTGAGCCGCATGCTTTCTAGTCTGCTTTCGATGCAACTTTAGTTCCTTCCCCACGCGAAAGAATATCTTTTGACTTTTCAAACTTCTGTTGTTTGCCTTTTTGAGACAAGGTCTTATGATGTACTCCAGGCTGGCCTTGAACTTGTGAACCTCCTGCCTCACAATTCCAGGCATGCAGCACCATACCCAGCTGAGAATATTTTGTGCTTAGAAAGGATCTGCGCCAAAGCCAGTTAGACTGAAGAGCGACTTGTATTACGCAGTAGACTTTTCCCAGCCAGAGCCCTGGCAGAGTCTCAGGGCAGGGTGGCTTGTATACTCTGCTTACGGATATAGGAAGGACACAGAAGACAGGCCTTTAAACATGGGACACTTGCCTTCAAGATCCAAGTTCTAAAGCCATCTTGCAAGGGATATGCTAACGGCTCTTCTAGGGGCTTCATAAGGGGCTTATGGAGGTGAGGTGATTAATGGGGTTTTGACTGATGTCCAACTCACAGTAGGTCCAGTGGGTTCCTGAATTGATCCTGTGGTTATTTCCCCGGTTCCAGAATATATAATTGGGACACACGTACTTAGAAGTTAACAGAATTCTCACATTGGTTCCCACCTGTGGACTGAGGAATATTCTGGTTGGAAAGGGTAAACGAAGTCTTTAGAGTTGCCTCTGCCAGGGGAAATAGCATCACATCCCTGGAGGAACTGCAGATGTTAGTGCCACCATCAAGGACTTGAAGGGTGCAGGGGTGGAGGGTCCTACCACATCTCCCTTTAACTCTTCTATCTGGCCAGTGCAGAAGACAGATGGACATAGAGAATGACAGTGGACTATCAAAAACTCCATCAATAGTGACTCCAACTGCAACTGTTGTAACAGATGTGGTGTCCTTACCTAAGCAGATCAGCACATCTTTTGGTACACTGTATGCAGCTGCTGATCTAGCAACTGCCTTTTTCCTGGTACCTGTTCCTAAGGGCTCCTAGAAGGAATTTGCTGAGGCCAGCAGTACCCGCGCCTTTACAGTTTTACCTCAAGGGTATGTGAACTCTCCAGCCCTGTATCATAACTTAGAAGGTATCTTGATCGTATGTCTCGTCCACAAAAATATCACACTGGTGCGCTATATTGATGACATTGTCCTCATTGGACCAAGTGAGCAGAAGGTAGCAACCACTTTGAACTTGTTGGTCACATATGTGTATACCAGGGGATGGGAAATAAATCCAACCAAGATTCAAGGGTCTTCTACCTCAGTGAAATTCTTAGGAGTCCAGTGGTGTGGAGCATGCAGAGATATTCCTTCTACGGTGAAGAGTAAGTTATTGCACCTGGCCCCTCCCACCACCAAGAACAAAGCACAACATTTAGTGGGCCCATTTGGATTCAGGAGACAGAACATTCCCTACTTGGGTGTGTTACTCTGGCCCATATACCGAGTGACTCAGAAAGCTGCTAGCTTTATGTGGGCCCTGGAGCAGGAGAAGGCTCTTCAACAGGTCCAGGCTGCTGTGCAGGCTGGTTTATCATATGATCCAGCAGACCTGATGGTACTTGAGGTGTTAGTGGCAGATAGGGATGCTGTTTGGAGCCTTTGGCAGGTGCCCTGATAGATGAATCACAGAAGATACCTTTGGGATTTTGGAGCAAGGTTCTACCATCATTTGCAGACAACTGTTCTCCCTTTGAGAGACAGCTCTTGGCTTGCTATTGGGCTTTAGTGGAAATTGAACACTTGACACTGGGCTACCAAGTTACCATTTGACCTGAGCTGCCCATCGTGGGCTGGGTGTTATCTGACCCAGCAAGTCAGAAAGTAGGGTGTGCATAGCAGCGATCCATTATCAGATGGAAGCGGTATATATGTGACCAGGTCTGAGTAGGTCCTGAAGGCACAAGCAAGTTACATGGAGAAGTTGCCTATGGTTTCTACTCCCATTACAATGCCATCTGCCGCCAAGCATGCACCTGCAGCCTCATGTGGTGCTCCCTGTGATTGGTTGGCTGAGGAAGAGAAGACTAGGGCCTGGCTTGATTCTGTACATTATGCCAGTACCACTCCCCACCCCCGTTTTTCTTTCTTTCTTCTTTTGTCTTTTTTTTTTTTTTTTTTTTTTTTTTTTTTTAGACAAGGTTTAGTGCCTGTCCTGGAACTAGTTCTTGTAGACCAGGCTGGCCTCGAACTCCTAGAGATCTGCCTGCCTCTGCCTTCCTAGTGCTGGGATTAAAGGTGTGCGCCACCACTGCCCAGCACCGGCACCACTTCTTACAACTCTTCTGGGGCAACCCTGAAAGATACTGCCAAAGGGAAATCATCACAGCAGGCAGAACTTAGGGCAGCGGTGCACATGGTCATACATTTTATTTGGAAGGGGTGGCCAAACATGTGACTATTCACTGATTTATGGGCTATAGCCAATGGGTTGGCTGGATGGTCAGGGACCTGGAAAGAGCGTGATTGGAAGATTGATGAGAAAGACTTCTGGGGGAAGATGTATGTGGAGAGATCTCTGCCAATGGAGGAAGGATGTGAAGATACTGGTGTCCTGTGTAAATGCTCACCAAAAGATGACTTCGGCAGAGTAGGAGCTCAGTAACCTCATATATAGGATAACCCATTCTGTGGACAGTCAGCCTCTTTATCACACCTTCCCTGTCATTGCCCGGTGACACATAAAGTGGCCATGGTGGCAGAGATGAAGGTTATACGTGGTCTCAGCAACATGGACTACAACTCACCAAGACTGCCCTGGCTACAACTGGTACTGTGGGCCAGATCTGCCCACAACAGAGACTAACAGAGTCCCAGATATGGCACTATTCCCAGGGGTGACCAGACCTGGTGACAGGTTGACTGCACTGAACTGCTTCCTTGTGGAAAGGACAACATTTTGTTCTTCCTGGAGCAGGTACTTGTTCTGGTTATAGACTTGCCTTTCCTGCCTGTAATGCTTTTGTCAAAACCACCATCCATGAACTTCCAGAATGCCTGAGCCATTGGCATGGTATTGCACACAGTGTTGCTTCTGACCAAGGGACTCATTCACAGCTAGAGAAGTGTGACAGCGGGCCCATGATCATGGAATCCACTGGTCTTACCATGTTCCCTACCATGCCTGACAGAAAGATGGAATAGCCTTTTGCAGACATAGTAACTGCACCAGTTAGGTGACAGCAGCCTGGAGGGCTGGGGCAGGGTTCTCCAGAAGACAGTGTATGCTTTGAATCAGTGCCCAGTCTATGATACTATTTCTCCCATAGCCAGGATCCACGGGCCCAGGAATCAAGGGGTGAAAGAATATGGCTCCCAAAGGGAGTGGTACTATTAGGAGGTGTGGCCTTGTTGGAGGAAGTGTGTCACTGTGGAGGTGGGCTCTGAGGTTTCATATATGCTCAAGTCATGCCCAGTGAGACAGATCACTTCCTGTTATCTTTAGATCAAGAGGTAAAATTCTCAGCTCCTTCTCCAGCACCATGCTTGCTTGTACGCCGCCATGTCCCACCATGGTAACGGACTAAAGCTCCGAACTGTAAACCACACCGTTAAATGCTTTCCTTTATAGGAGTTGCTGTGGACGTGGTGTCCCCTCCCAGCAATAGAAGCTAAGACAGGAACACGGAATAGTTTCGCTCACTGTCCCCCCCCCCCCCCAGTGACCCACTAGGAAGATTTTGCTTCCTGTTCTCGTGACCTTAAGTTCTGATGACCTAGAAGTTTTGGATCCAGAGCGGGTTGAGGGTACTTCTGCGAGGAGATACAGCAAACTTTCCATTGAGCTGGAAGCTCAGGCATCCCTGTGGCCACTCTGGGCTTCTGATGCCCTCAAGCCGACAGACTAAGAGAGGAATAACAGTGTTAGGAGGAGTGGTTGATCCAGATTACCGAGGGGAATTGGATTGCCTCTGCACAATGAAAGTAAGAAGGATTATGTGTAGGGCAGGAGATCCTTTAGGGCATCTCTTGGTGCTACCATGTCTTGTGATAAAGGGCACAGACCCTTCAGCAAGGAAGGTATGGGTCACTCCTCCAGGAAATGAACCAACACCCACTGAGGTACTTGCTGAAGGCGGAGGAAATGCAGAATTGGTGGTAGAGAAAGGTAGTTATGAATACCAACTAAGTTGCAGACATGAGGATTATAATTGACATGAATGTTTCTGTTATATTTTATTAAGAATGCGATTGTGCAGAGACTTGTGTTCTCGTCCTGCCATTTCTTTCTAATGTGATATCAATTAAGAGAGTATCAGTGGTTATTATATTTAAGTTCTGAGATACTAAGAGTGTCCCTCCTGTTGTCACTTATAGTACATGTATAATACATTTGTAGTTGTACAAGGGAGAGTTATGTTAGGCATAGTTATGACCTGGTTAAATATATAATGTGTTTGTGATTGTACATGGGATAGGTAGGCATTATTGTGACTGGTTGTTTTCATTTGGAAAGTAAGCATGCAATAAAGAGATACAATTTTGTGTCAAGTTGACAAGGGGTGGCCTTGCGATGGTTGTTCTTGGTCGTCACCTTGATGACACCTGGAATGAACTACAACCCAAGTGGCTGGGTACACTTGTGAGGATGTTTTTTTCCCTTAATTCATTTGAAGTGTGAAGACTCATTTTTAAACTGGATCTTCTGAGGCGGGAAGTTACACTTTTAATCCAGATCTTCTGAGATGGGATGATCCACCTTTAATCTGTGCCACGCCCTCTGCTGGCAGCCTGTATAGAGGCCATGCGAGAGGGAAGCTTGCTCTCTCTGCCTGCTGGCTGTAGGTCTTGCTGCCAAGTCCATTCCTTCACGGGCTTTAGAGCCTACCGAAGACCAGCTAAGACACCCAGCTTCATGAACTGAACAACTACTGGATTCTCGAACTTTCTATTGGTAGACAACCATTGTTGGACTAGCTGTACAACAGCCTGTAAGCCGTTTTAATAAATCCACATATATGTACTCATTCTATAAGTCTGTTCCTCTAGAGAATCCTGGCTAATACGCACATAAACCAACGTTTGCAATTTGCATTTCAACTGAAGTAAACTACAATGGACAGGTTTGCCTCAGTGGGCTAAAAGATGCATTTTCTTGCATTTAGCATACATATTTTACTTTAATTCCTTCCTTGAGGACTACTTGTGTTGCAGCCAGGTTCTCACTGTTTGGGACGACGCAGCAAAGCATGGCCTTAGGTTTCTTCCCCGTCTCTGGGTATTTTGAGTCAGGTCTTTTATGGTTGTTTTATTCCAGTTACTGAAGATAAACATCTAAAAATCTGTGTAGAGTGCTTGGCCTGCAAACATGTTTGTGCACCACAAGTGTACGGTGTCCATGGAAGCCAGAAGAGGGTGTCCGAGCTCCTGGCAGTGGAGTTTCAGGTGGTTGTGGGTGCTGTGTGGGTGATGGGAATCGATCCTGGACCCTTCACAAGAGCAGCAGGGTGGACACTGAAATAAAGCTCAGGTCAACAGAGGGGTATTTTTGTTGAGACTCTTTTCAGTGTCGGCTCCTTGGTTACAGGTACAGGTGTTACCTTAGATAGACTGCTTGTGTTCACACGTGATTGCCACTGCCTAACAGCTTCCTCATCTGTCAAGTGGTGATAACAACAGCATCTCTCTTAGGGGCATTAGGGCAGTTGAGAGAAATGGTCCCTATAAAACCTTTAACATACAGATGTCGGATGTCGGCATCTGAAAGCCTTCTGTGGAATGAGCTACTATACTCTATTAGTCTCATTAAAGATATCACAATTGCTTCTCTCAGGATGACTTTCTTCATTATAAATTTTATAGTAAATGCTTGTTTGTTTTTTCTTTTTTCCAGCTTGGGGCTTTATAAAGTGTTACGGGTTGAACTTCTTGCCCTTAGCTTTCTTTGGAGGCTGTTTTCCCTCGATCCAGATTCCTCAACAGTTGTTTTATGACAGTGTAAGGAAGGACTAAGTCATAAGCAAAATTTTCCATGTCCCAGCATCAGCAAGATATGTTTTTAACTCTCACAAATCATTGCATATGCATTTTAGCCTTTGTCACCTTTGGGGAATTTATTATTCCCATCAATCTTAGCTTCCCCATGTGTTCTGGACAGAATGTTCCTCATCATAACATTGTAAAGTGAAACACTTGGGATCAGAATACTATTTTAAATTCCCCAATGTACTTGTGTCTATTCTGGGACTCAATAATCAGTTCTAGTTGCTCTCTCCGTATTTTTGAACCACGTTGTTTAAACTATTTTAGCTGCACTGGCTGCATATCCCGTTTTTCAAATGCCTGAGGCCACATGTTTCCTATTTCAGAGTTTTGTGCTTTCAGCTGTGTGGACTACCAGCTGAGCATTCCTGAACACCCCAAGTCCCAAACTGGACACTTTCTGACATCACTGGATCTACATGTCTGCAACAGGGTTGTTCAGACTACAAAAATTGTTTCTTATGTCAGGGTTTGCCCCTCTGTTTGCTTTCTGTCATATTCCAAACACAGCCTTCTGAGATTTTGAGTGAAGATCTTTTTCTTCTTTCTTCCTTTCTTCCTTCCTTCCTCTCTCTCTCTCTCTCTCTCTCTCTCTCTCTCTCTCTCTCTCTTTCTTAAGATAGTCTCACAGTGTAGCCCTGGTTAGCTTGGAGTTCACTGTGTAGACCAGGCTGGCCTTGAATTTAGAATTCAGCCTTCCTGTCTGCCTTCCTCTCTCTATTTCTGTCTTATTTTTAAAGGTGTGTATGTATGTGTGTGTGTGTGTGTGTGTGTGTGTGTGTGTTGTTAGCCTGAAGCTGTCAGATTCTTTGGAGCTGGAGTTATAAGGTGGTGTGAGCCACTGGAGGAGAGTACTTTGTGTTTGGCTGGTTTTTTGTTTTTTTGATTTTATTTTGGAGGTCTTTTGCTTTTTTAAATTTCTGTTTTGTTTTGTTTTGTTTTGTTTAGAGAACCATGGTGACTTACACTTGTTTCATTTAAGATCATTTGAGAGTGTTATGCTTGCATGTTATGTATGTGTACCATGTGCATGCCTGGTGCCCATGGAGGCCAGAAACTAAAATCCGAACCCCTACGGCTGGAGTCAAGCCCTACAGTTTTGAGCTGCCATGTAGGTTCTGGGGACTGAACCTGGGTCCTTTACAACAGCAGCAAGTGCTTTAAACCACTGAGCCACCGCTCCAGTCCCTTGTTTGCTTTTAAGACAGAGTTCATGTAGCCAAGACTTTGAACTCCAGATCCCCTGCCTCCACTCCCCAAGAGCTGGGATTACCGGCGTGCTGTCACACCTGACGGATCCTGTGTGGCTGGTAAGCACGGTGGCAGGCAGCCAGTTCTCTATTACTTTTCTCTGCACCGGCTTCCAGCTGTTTCATCGAGGCTTACACACCCGGAAGGGCAATGCGCTGTGTTACGCAGAAACGCCCTCATGGGCACACTCAGAACCTGCACGCTACAGTCAAGCAGACGCCACACAATTCAGTCACAGTTGTGTTACAGTTCTGGCCGACCTGCCTGGTTTCATTCCTTGGATGCAGTTTGCCTAACTAGTACTTTTTCTTTCTTGTCTCCCCCTCCCCTCTCCTCATCTAAAGGTTTTCCAAGGACGCTTCCACAGGCAGAAGCCCTGGATAAAGCTTACCAGATAGACACAGTCATCAACCTCAACGTGCCCTTTGAGGTCATTAAACAACGCCTCACTGCTCGCTGGATTCATCCTGCCAGTGGCCGCGTGTACAACATTGAATTCAACCCTCCCAAAACTGTGGTGAGTAACTGCAGCGGGGGCTGACATACAGCAGACTGTCCCCGAGTTCTCCTACCCTAGCAGGCATAGCCTCTGTAAGCCTGGACCGAGCAGGACTACTATAGGGCATTACTTGATGAGTCTAGTGCACTCAAACTTGGTAGTAAAGATGCGTTCCTCGGCAGCAGGTCGGCTACCCACTCAATGTCCCCTATAGACTCACTGTGTTGACTGCTTGGTCCCCAACTGGTGGTGTAAGTTTTGAGGTGGAGCACACCCGGAAGAAGTAGGTCACTGGGGCATTGCCTCACAGATCATGCCTGATCCGTGTCCCTTCCCCCTCTCTGCTTCTTGTGCATCCTATGAAGGAAGCCACATACACACACACATGCAGATATACACATATAGACACACAGACACAGACACACACACATGCACACATGTATATGCAGACACACACACACATAGACACACAGAGACATAGACACACACAGAGACAGACACACACACATGCACACATGTATATGCAGACACACACACATAGACACACATACACATGCACAGACATCTATGCAGACACACACAGAGACAGACACATACACATGTATATGCAGACACACACATATAGACACACAGAGACACAGACACACGCACGCACACACTTATATGCAGACATACACACATATAGACACACAGACACACAGACACACACACACACACCGTGATGTTCTGAAGTCCAAGCAGGCAAGCAGCCCAGATCTGAACCCTCTGAAACTATGTGCCCAGATAAACAGTTCGTCCCTTCTGCTTGTTTTTCTCAGGTGTTAGTTACAGCAATGAGAAACCTGACACCGGAAAAACAAAAACAAAAACAAAAACCAAAACATGGATTTTCTTAGTCCGTGCCAGGGTGTGAGAGAAGGGCAGAGGCAGTGGGGATTGCAACACTGGCTTATAGCTGGAATTTCTCCCACCTCCCAGAGCCCACACCTGGGAACCAAGACTTGAGAACCTGGGCCCAAGGATAGAGAAGGGCTTCCACATCCAAACCGTACAGCACCCTCGGGCTTCTCACAGCTGCAAACACCTGCCTCTAGTTTGGATCCTGTTTACTAAAACGTTAGCCCATTTTTGTGATTGGCTAGACTACAGAGGCTGTCTGCTCAGAGATACCGTATTGCTGAGCTGACGTTTTACCAACGCTGTCTTAGGGCATTGACGACCTGACAGGAGAGCCTCTGATTCAGCGCGAGGACGACAAACCTGAGACGGTGATCAAGAGACTAAAGGCATATGAAGCCCAGACGGAGCCAGTCCTGCAGTATTACCAGTGAGTTCTTGCTTTTTCAACTTCTCTCATACAATCAGTTTTGATTTTCCATACGTTACAGCTGAAGCCCCAGTCCCAGTTGGCTTAAGCAATGAAGAGATTTCTAGGCAGCTGTCACAGAGTGGGCGGGGCCTCAGTCTCCAGCTTTCCTCTGTTTTGCCATATTCTCTTAGTTTCACCTGCTTCTGTGTACTGACTTGCTTTGTCCCTCCTGCATGGTTGCTGGTTTTATCCCAGAAAGGCCACGCCTTCCTCTTTCCCGAAGGGCTAAGGAGCAAACCTTTATTTAGTGAACGAAAGCTCCAAGCATCACTCAGATGAAACACTATAGCCACTGGTCAGGAAACCTCTTTCTTACTGTGCTAGCCTGGGTTATTTCCAGCTCCAGAATCAGTAATGGGGCTTCGGAGGGTTGACACAGGCTAGTTCACATCCAAGGTTTGGAGGTTCATTTCAGTCCACATTCTGCCATGTAGTGGAGGGCTGGAACCAGTGCTGGGGCAATGAGCCCAGTAGAGCCCACCAAGCATGCCAAGAGAGGCCACTTAAGCACAGCATATCAAATGGCCGCCAACTGTCAGAATCATCTGTGGTCAACAGTATTGGAAAGCTCCCGCTTACATGTTTTTATCTGTTCTTCGAGGAAGTCAGTATCACACACGGAATATGAGAATTACCCATCGCAGGCCAAGAAGCAGCCTGGCCTCCTTCCTCAGCCCTTCCTTCCTTCTTCCGGGGATGAGTGCTGCTCTTTGCTTTCTCTGCGTCCTGCTAATGATTTGGGGCCAAAGCAGTACATGCTGCTGCAGTAAGAGCATAGACCCCAGAGTCAGAAGGCCCAAGTTCAAAGCCCAGCTCGCTATTCAGTTAACATGGCCCTCACCTCTCGCTTAAGTTCTGACTGGTTTCTCTTCCGCAAAATGTGGATGAGGTTAGAGGCTTGAAAATGAGTTCATGTGTAGGCCTCATCACACTGTCCCGGATGCACAGGAAGCACGGGACATACATTAGCTGCTACTGTGGTGGCCACTGCTGCTACATTACTGCCACATAAGTATGCAGGGAAACCGGAACCAGTCTCGGGATTTCTGACAGCTAATTTCCGGAGGGTGAAATTATGAGAGTTGGCGATTCCCTTTTTACAGCAGCAATTACTTTAAGCTTGTGTTTGTATACTGAGCCTGGCTCTATATCCCTGGTAAGGTGTTTCTCCTCTGCGCCACTGACTCCATGTTTACGGTCAGCCAGTATTAAATACCCGCTTTACAGAACTCTTATGAAGGGGCCTGGAGCGAGAGAACTGTTATAGAGACTTAGAGCGGTCCTCAGCTATGGAATCAGTCACTGTTGAGGACTCTGCTGGCACTGCGCCAGGCCCTTGTCTAAGCAGACAATTAGACTCAGTTCCTACAAGCCTCCTAGTAAGTCACCTTGTATGGAAAGACAGGAAAAGTGTGCAAATACCATGTATTGTGCAATGAGATACAACACGGCTTATCATCAGAAATCATCCCCACCCTGGCTTATGCAAACCAGGGTGGGGGGGGTGTTAGTCCTATACCCAAGAAGTCCCAATACAGATGGCCGGCTCAGGGGCTTAAGGAATGCCATCAAAACTCGGCCCTTCCAGCTTCATTCCCTGTGCTGGCTTCAGTCCAGGTGGCTGTAGTGTCTTCTGACTTTAGCCCAGCTCCTGCCAGCTCTGCTGACTCAGCAGAAAAGAACCATCTCCCTCCTCCCACCCCAGCTAAAGTATGATTGATGGCGATTAGCTTCAGCCATGCATTGTCGAAGAGAGGGTGTGGGAGCAGTCTCACTTGAGCCTCGTGTACTGAGTGTGCACCATTTGACTGTCCGTAGGACTCACAATAAAGAACACCTTGTGCCTGGGCAGACAGTAATACTCCCAAGAGGCCGGGTAGAGGAATGCCTGGAGGGAGTAGTTCTGATACAAGGTGGAGGTTGGGGAACACTACAGGAATTAGTGACTTGGGGGTCTTTCTTTCTGGGCTCCTAATGCTTCTTGACTTAAATTCACGCTTTTCTGCCTAAGATCAAAGCGCAGACTTACGGCTTGCACTCTCCTTATTCCCGGGGAACGCTCATCTGCCTAGAAATGCGGTGTTCTTACTCTTGGGAAGACTGGTTTTTGTAGCCGGTTCCCTCTCATTACAGAGAAATCACAACGGCAAATGTTCACACACAGTACAGCGTAGGAGGGAATGGGTGCCTGCAGTTCTGCCTCGGTAATACGTCACTCCTGGCACTGCAGCTGATACTGACGTGTCTCCAGGAAGCTTTCCCGTTCAAAGCTTGCTCTGAGTGCTCTACCTGCCCGAGAATATAGACGCGTAAGGGCTTCTCCTGTGTAGATACTCCCTTTGTATCGGTTTTTCTGTAGTAGACGTTTTCAACCGGAAAACAGCTGCCGTTATTTAAGTTAACCACGACAAATGTGAGTTGTCCTTTTGCCCCAACGACAGCCTAGTGAGATCAGCCACACAGCTATGGCAGCCGTTTCTGGAAAGCAACAGACCATGTTATCTGCTCTTGGGTGTCCCGGCAGCCAGTGTGCACACCCAGAAATGTGTGTGGGTCCGGGAGTTCAGAAGCTTACGGTGGTCCGTGCGGTGCGAGAAGCAAACCCCAGGATTCTGAGCCCACACTTCATCCTCTCTCTCCCCTACTCAACTCTGGAGTAAAGTCACTCTTTGATGGCCGGTGTGTCATCATGACAAGCCAGACACACAGGGAACTCTACCAAGAGGAAGATTCAGGAAGGTAGAATAGAAGGGAAAGGAACTTGGTAGAAAGGAGGCATGAGGACTGTTAGAAAAGTTTCAGACTTCAGTGGGCAAAGCGGTACTGAATGCTGGGATGATGTCCTGGTGGCCGACGACCGTTTCTAACCTGCCAACCTGAGGATTGAGGCCGAGTCCCTTCCCAGAAGGCATCTGCAAGTAGCGTATAGGCTTACCCAGCCATCCAGGCCAGTCTGACAGCTGACATCTTTTTAAAGAGCCCCTTCCCTGATGCCAGAGGACAAAACCCGAACTAGAATCTAGATTTTGCTATGCCCAGCCAAGTTCCTTCCCCCGGGTCAGAGACCTAACCTCATAGACTTCTAAATTCACATGAATTTTACAAATTCCTCTGAAAAATCTCATTACCTATCTACTTACCTATTTTGTTTCTCATCTTTAGGAAGAAGGGGGTCCTGGAAACATTCTCTGGAACGGAAACGAACAAGATCTGGCCCCATGTATATTCTTTCCTACAGACGAAAGTTCCAGAAACTACCCAGAAAGCCTCCGTTACTCCCTGAGGAGGGCAGTTAATTAGCAGGGTGAAGCGGGGCCTCCTCGCCTCGCCTGTTTTCGAAGCTCTTTTCCTGAGACTTCTCTGAAAATTATGACTTACTCCTAATGACTTTCTTTTGGATGTTACTAAGGCCGTGCCAAATGAGTCAGACACTAAGGCTGATCTGTTAAAATAACCTCGTGTGTTTAATCTAGTTGTCTTCTGTGGATGTGCAATTAGAAAACATCAGAGATGCTGAAACTCAAAAAAGAAAATCAAAAGAGAGCAACTGGTAATTGTCCACCCCCCGTTAAGTCAGCGGCCGATCATTTTCATGTTTTTCTGAAAAAGTTTAAAAAAAATTACACATCACCAACCCCTCCCAAAATGTCTTCTAGCCCCATGGGATGTGGTATTTGGGGAGACTGTCTATAGATTCCAGAAAGCAAGCAACTGGCTTTATTTACAGATGTTGCCAGATGCAAACTCTGCTGCCTTTGCAGAAAAAGCAAGGGCACAGGCTACCCTGCAGTGCCCTCCATTTACTAGTTTCCAGTTTGCTGTAAAGATGCAGCCATGGCAGTTAAATGTGACTTCGATATGGCTTGGCTTGTTTTCTTTTCCAAACATGCATGAATCAAGGGATGTATGTGTTGACTAAAGTTTGCACTGGCAAACGACAATCTCGCACGTCACTCAGGCTGTTTTAGGACCTACCTGTCAGCTTCTCTCTTTCATACAAATGGACTGTCTGCCTTGATGAGCAGTGATATAAAGAGAGAGGGTAAGAGAACACCCACGGCAGTTTGCCACTTAAGTAGATGTGGTATGCTGGGGACAGCCCCTTGACAGAAAGACGACCGATCAACTAACTAGCCACCACATACAGCAACAAAAGGCATTTGCAGCAGGGGTTAAAAGGCCCCATAACTGAGTTCCCTCAAGGACATGTATATCGCTATCAAGGTCCTTGATTTCAAGAGCCTCTTGTCTCAGCCTCTCAAGTGCTACCAGTTGTCACCCGACTTCACTGGGAACATCTAAGCAGCCTCCTCTTCCACCTGCAGCACTGTGGCTCCAACTCAGCCTTGTATGCTGGGCAAGCACCCTACCACTGCCATACCTCCAGCCCTTCGTCTTTTTTTTTTTTTTTTTGAGACAGGATCTCATTACGTAGTTCTGGCTGTCGCAGAACTATGTAGACAAGGCTGGCTTCAAACTCATAGAGATCCGCCTGTCTCTGCCTTTCAAGTGTTGGGATTAAAGGTATGGACACCTGGCCCCAGCCCTTAGTTTTTGAGACAGGGTCTCACTATGTAGCACAGGCTAGCTTGAAATGATGTAGTCCAAGCTGGCTTCATGTTCATGATCCTCTTGTTTCAACCTCCTGAGTGCTTAAATTACAGGAATATACCACTAAACCAAGCCTGAGAAACCATTTTAAAACTTCAGCCACTTCAGATTCCTTAGTGGGGCAAAGACATGTCCTTACATATTGTGGCCAAATGTAAGATATGAGAAATGGAAGAAAAACAACTCGACCTTCGAGGAAGATGTACTCTGTATTTTACTTGGTGCTAAATCAAAGAATCAAGCCCTTGTACAAGACTTTGAAACTTTGGCCAATTTTATTTCAGAAACTTTAAGTACAAATGCCAGCAAGTGGTTCTTATACATCTGGGAGTGGGGAAGGAATCTTTTGATTTTTAAATTTCACTGTTGAACTTTCAAAATGGACATGCCTTTAAATAGGATTACAACAAGCATCTTGTCTTTTGTGTTTCTATATGCCTTATCTGAATGTTGGTTAACTGGGTTCTAACAATGTTGTGAACTTCTCTAACTTAGGACTGATCAGCAGGTTCTGTTACACGTGGTGATTTCAGCACTGTGATGTTGCCCTTGGCTGCTCGACCCCCAACCCTGCTTCTGTCTGCTGCTGTGGCTTCTCACTGGCTTCTTTCTAATAAACCGGTCTTCACATAATGCATTTTATGACATTATCTCCTGCTATACTAATGCAGTCACACTAGCTTCCATGACACTGGAGATGCTGAGGTCAAGAGGTTGGAGAACATGAAGTGACAACCTTTTTCTTCCTTTGACCAGAACAACCAAGATTTTGTATGTACATCCATTTGGGAACCGTGTGGCTTCTATTAGAACAGACAAAGACCAGTTTTCTGCTGGATAGGTTAATGCCAGACAACTGATAAAGCTATCATTGCTGGGGATGGACAAATGGCTCAGCAGTTAGGTACAACGGCTACTCTAACAGAGGACCTGAGTTTGATTCCCAGCATCCACATCTCTAACTCCAGTTTCAGGGCATCCAATGCCCTCTTCTGGCCTGCAAGGGCATCACGCACACACGTTGCACAAACACATATACAGGCAAACACCCATACACATAAAAAACCATTCCTGACTACATCCTGCTGAAAATGCTGTGATGACCAGTGCATGCTTTTATTTTTGTGCCACATGGAACAGCCATGGAGCTGAATACCCTGGGCAAGAGCACTGTGTCTTCTCATTTTCAAAATCTCTTCATTAATAACTACAGCTAGCACCTAAAGATTTTCGATCTTAAGTTAGGATTATTATTTTTTTTTTTTTTACAGAATAGTCTAACTGGGCTCAAAAGCACTGGTAAAAGCCAGTAAGGTTTCTGAATCTGTGGCATTCTCCTGCAGTATTTTCTTAAAAGGTTTCATTTAGTGTGTATGTGCGCATGTGTGCGGGTACCTGCAGAGGCTACAAGAGGACATCAGATCTTCTCAAACTGGAGTCACAGGAGCTTGTGAACCACCAGACATGGGTGTTGGGAGTCAAACTGGCCCTCTGCAAAAGCAAGTGCTCTTAACCAAAAACTCATCCCTTTAGCCCGTTTTTAAAGGTTACTAAAAACCGTAAGTTTTTCTATATACAGTACCAAATAGTGTCATGTCATGCCAAGTGTAGACTGGCCCAGCAGCTTCCTATTTCCCCAGGGGATTCCAAGTGTCGCAAAAACATACCAGGTGAACCGGCTTCCTGGACAACCTATGAAGTAGTACAAGCATACCCACACACGTGGGTACTGAAGGCTGCAGGATCTAAGGGTCTTCTGGCTAAATGAATGGTATGCTGGAAAATGGAAATGGGAAACCCAACCCCAACCTGGACAAGTACCACCTTTTCCCCACATCAATTTAAGAACTGACATCTGACTTGCTCTGAGAATAGTAAGTTTTTTTTTTTTCTGAAATACCCCAGGATTAACTTGAGAATCACCTTGCCTATATTACACTGTCATGAAAACCACTTAGTAATGGAGATATGTGTGCTCATTGGGAAGCATGTTAATTCACTTAAATTAAAAAAAAGTTTTAAAAATAAACTTAAAATTTACAATATTTGTGTGCATATGTGTTCTCCTGTGCATGTATGACGGTCTGATGAAACTAAGGAATTGGTTCTCCTGCCACCATTTAGTCCCAGATACTCAACTCAGGTACTCGGGCTTGGCAGCAAAAACCTTTACTCAAGTGAGCCATTCCAACAGCCCTTACTTTAAAAATGATAATATGAATGCTCGTCTGAAAAAAAGCCTAGTATTTCTGAAGAGAAATTATAGGATACTATAAGCTCCTTGGGCAAAATTTTGATAGAACCACAGATGGTATAATTAAGAGACTCTCAGAGCAGTAATTCTAATCAGTGTTTTCTCCGTTATCAGCAACGGAATGACAGTTCACAGGGTAAATGGAGTTACAGCTATTTGTTCCTCGCTCTCCTTCTAAGACAGTCTCATGTAGCCACTGGCAGGCCTTGAACTTGCAATGCAGCTGAGGAAAAGCATAAGCCCTCATGTCCTCACCTCCTAGCAGGGCCGAGGGCCACAGGTATGTGACACCATGCCCAGTTTATGTGGTGCTGGGGATACAATCGAGGGCTTCATGCACCCTAGGCAAGAACTCTACCAACTGAAATTGTATCTTAAGTCTCCAGCTGTTTCGTTTTTTAAAAAATGAAGGAAATAAGAGGACTCAAATATACTGTCATTTTGTTTTGTTTTTTTGAGATAGGGACTCTTTATGTAGACCAGACTGTCCTCTAACTCAGAGATTCACTCCCCCCTGCCTCCCAAGTTCTGGGATTAAAGGCATGTGCTCCCACACCCAGCCCAATATACTGCTGTAATACTAAAGACCTGCCAATGATTAAGTTACCATCCCTAGTACAAATTATGACATTAATTAGTGGTTCCTCCAAACAAATCAATCACACTTTTACACACTAAAACACAGAACACTTCCTTTGGGGAAAAAAAAATTCTAGTCAAATGTCAAAAGGTTTTTTTTTCTTAATCAATTTTTGTCTTAGAAAACAAAACCAAAATAAACTTTAACTATATACTCACTTTGCTATTACTTTTCTGTCACCAGTTTTGGGGCTTTAAGAGTTTAAATTATAGAAGGCAAAAATGAAAGTCACAAGCATTTGACTGAGCACAGAGAGGCAGACAAGTGTGGCAGAAGTGAAGTCGGTGTGGAAACCTGTCAGCCCAGAACCACTTCTGTGAGACCAGGATTCTGTCTGTCTGTCTGATGTGAAGAGGGTAACTGAGACCATGCTCAGACAAGAAGAAAAAAGAAGAGAATACAACAACGAAATACAACAAAAACAAACAAAAAAGTCTTCCATGATTAGGTCACTGATTAAAAAAATTGCAAGCCAGTGAGCACTACTATATAAATTAGTCAAACATTTTATTATAGAGTATATTTTTATATCAAAAGCACAAAAAGACTTTTATTCTGGGAACCAGGAAGATTGACGACATTACAGGAATATGATTCAATGATTCCAGTCCATTTCCACAAGTACTGGGCACCCCATCAGTTAATTCAGCCACTGGCTGAAAAGACAGATGAAGCTGAGGTCACAGCTGTGACCCAGGCAAGCAGCTCAGCACGATTTCCTTATCCAAACTGAGACCTGCATTCCCAACCCCAAACACCCACTTTCCAAGTATTTGCTACAAATTGAAGTGGGTACTGAGCCAAAGATTACACTCAACTATAATGCTCCTGTAAGTCGGAAGATTAATCCTCAAATAATAAGGATATCATAATTGGCACTGTCATCTAATTCTAAATAAAAAGAATCATCAAACATCCTGGTGGATCTGCAGTGACTTACAGAGGAAGAAGTAAAGCTCAGAAGCATCTCGGAACTGAGCTAGAAGCGAGTAACAGCTGGAGTGAAACCCATCACAGCCGAGGGTGACTTATCAAATTCTTAGACGTGGTTGGCAGCTCAAGGCGGCTTAGTTCTACATTTCTCAAGGCTTCACCAGAGGGAAACACAGTAACGGTGACTTAACAATGACCTTACTCCTCCTGTTTGTTCTCACAGGCCGTTACTATTCTTCAAAACTTACTCCCTGAGAGGTCCCAGACTATGTCAAGTGAAGAAGTCAGAGTAAGCTTGCAGTTCATCTCGTTGGAAAAACAAATCTGTACGGCTCTCTACACACGCTACACTCCTTAATATTTAACAGTCATCAGGACAAAGTCAACTCACTTCTGAACAGTTTTGAAACTACTTGCAGGGTAAATGTCATGTTTTTAATATCAAGTTTATAGTCAAGGAGTTAACTGGTGGTGTCGAAAATACAAATGGTAAATATTACCGTAAAACAATAATTTGTGTCATCCAGTTTACTGATTAGTAAAGTAGGTTACCACTACTGATTTATTGCTTTTAATGTGATGAACACCAGATGTGACAGCTGAACTTTGCAGTGGGACACAAGCACACTTTTCGCTTTAATTCTCTCTGTGAAGCGGGACATGTACATATCCGTGTTACAACTCTGTAGCAGATACCTCCTCAGTCAACCAGTCTTGTAAACATTGCATTGTGCAGATTTTCATACTTTGATTCCAAAATTAAGAATAGTTAAAGGCAAATTTAGTAACTGAGGGGTGGGGGAGAGTCCAGTTTGACTTCCTGCAACATATGGTACCACTCCTCCCTTCAGAAACAAAACAAAACAACAAAAACCCTAGCAGCACATAAAAAAAGTTGCAAAACATTTCAGTACTCTTTTCCCTCCCATCAAAAATCGAACAAAAATAAAGTGCAGCACCCATAAAAGTGTCAAGAAAATAGCCAAGCTCTTCCTTTCTTGTAACAAAATAGTCCTTGGCCTCAGCAGTCTTAACTGAATTACACAGTGTCCATCATTTTGTCCTCATCTTCTTTCTGCACCTCTGAGTTTAAACTGCAGAGAGTTGTGTTGATAGAACACTGAAGATAATCTGGATTCTGGGGGAGAAAGGAGAAGGAAGACACTTAGTAAGCAGCTCCATGCCAGCCCATCACCTGTGCATTTGGGTTCACGTTTTCTAGTCTGCTGCAGCTCAGCAAGTAAGAAAGAAAATGGGATTTTTTGAGTCTACTTGGGCTGAAACCCAAAGAACTAAGGGTAGGATAATATTATTTAATCCAAAGAGATGTGATAAAGCCAGAGTGGATATATGTGAACAAAATGTAATACTACCCTTTTAGCCCTTTCAACAAAACTAGCACAATTCTTTAACCATACAAGGACAAATTTCCCCATAAGCATATATTTTCATAAATATGGCTTCCGGGGGTCTGGAGAGATGACTCAACAGTTAAAAGCACCTGTTCTTCCACAGGACCAGGGTTTGGTTCCCAGCACCTACATGGTAGCTCACAACCACGTGAAGCTTTAATTCCAGAGGCTCCAATGCCCTTTTCTGACTCTGTGGACACTGCACGCACATGGTGCACACACGTGTATTTAGGGAAAACATCCATATATATATAAAATAATATTTTTTTATTCTGTTAAAATAAAGTTTTTAAGTCAGGAAGTGGTGGCACATGCCTTTAATATAAAAGTCAATATTCTTGTTATATTACCGTATTTCCACAAAGTAGTGCTAGGTTTTTGCAGACATCCACTTCAGATTCCAGAGCCCTTCAAGACCAAACTTACAGTAACTCTAGCTTGATACTCAGAACTGAAAGTCATCAATATCCCTAACCTAAGCGACACTGAAATTCCACTGGTTGCCCCATGGGTCGGTCTGTCAGCATTTTCACTTGTCTCAGTACACATTCTCCCCAAGAGCACAGGACTCCGTGTAGTGTAGGACTCCGAACTGGGGAAGGATGCATCAGCCCCACCATTTACTGTGTTGACTTTAGGCAAACTAATTAACCTCTGTAATTTTCAATTTACTTATGTGCAAAATGATTTTAAATAATCACAGCGTTTTTAAGATTAAATAATACATTTCAACATAATGTACAACCCATGAAGTGATATAAAAATGGTATAGCACTATTACAGTAAGGTTCTTTTCAGACTTCAAAACTGTCAGCTTGGTCCCTTGGGTGCCTCCCCCTTCCACTTCCTTCATCTGTCACTATCTTAAGCGACTAACAGCCATTTCAACAGTACTCCTCTCCTTGGGGCTGTCTAGGCCAGGGTGCCTAAATTCTCACCCTGTAAGGAGCAACTAGTCTATTAACCCAGAGTACTTAAGGATGAAGGTTCCTGATAATAATTCAAATGATAAAATTCCATAACTCCAGCCTTTTCTACACAAGTGACAGTGGAGGCCTAGCCACTGGTGTCAGCTGTAACTGCTATGTATGAGAATGACTTAATTCTCTCCGACCGGACATATCTTCTTGATAATACAGGTTGCTTAGACTTTAACATGTGTAAAGAACCAACGACATCCCTTAAGTCTCTTTTTCCTCTGCATGCATTAGGTGACTAAGTTTATCTACTGCCTTTGACATCATCATAAAACTCCTTGGAAAAAACTGCTTTCTCACATGCTACTTCTAAATATTGTAAGTAACATTAAAGAAGTAATCTGGGGGCTAGAGATGGCTCAGCAGTTTAGAGCACCTGCTCCCTTGCAGAGGTCCAGGGTTCACTTCCCAGTACCCACAAAGTGGCTCACAACCATGTGTAACCAATAATTTCAAAAGATTCAAAGCCCTCTTCAGTCTCCCTCTTTGGGCACCAGGCACAGGTGTTGTATACATATATACAAGCAGTAAAATATTTTCATACATATAAAATAAAGCAAATCTTAAAACATTAAAAATAAAGAAATGATCTGTAGGCATTCTTTAGGGGCCTATTCCTGACATGTCTAATTAAAGGAGAACACTAGTGATTATTTAAAGTCAGAATGTGAATATTTACATCTTTGAAAATGGTTTTGGTTGAGATAAGTATGACCAATTGCTTTCCTTACTATTTTAGATCCTACATTAGGTTAAAGTGCTATTGTGAAATTTAACAGCTGTTTTAAATACATGTTACTAAAATGGTAAAATTATAGTGCCATAAGGT